TGCTGAAGTTCCTCCGTACGGCTTCGTTTCTAGATTAAAACAACTGGGAGATCAAAGGGTCTCATTAGGAAGCAGCTACAAATCCCACAAAAAGTGGCTATATGTCTCCATAATAAGCTCCTCCTTTGGCCATTTTTATCTAAAATCTGGTATATTTTAACTGTAAAACCATATAACTGTAAATGTGCCTTTTTAATGCCAATTTGTTGCCACTGTTGGCTTTTAAAGTTCCCACTTTGTTCATTTTTATAAGCAAAAGCTATTGTGTTCGGTTTGACTTCTCGTTGTTGAATAGGAAACATGTTTTAATGGTGGAAAAAGCAGTCAAATGGTCACAGGAACTCATAAAACCAATCTGGCTAAAAACTTTAAAAGCTCTTTCTTTTTTGGATGCAACTCACACATGCAGTTGGTATTAAAACACACATCGGGAGATACGGTGCTTACCTGACCTGCTCTCCTACCTCGTTCTGAAAGAACATCCATTTTTAGGACGGTCAGATAGAATAAGGCTAATAGGTAACACAGGATGCCCTTTATGTGTGTGTGTCCACATCTCTGTTTTAGTGCCTTTGCTTTTGGTCAATTTTATTCATGCGGCTCATGCATGACTCACATTTACACACTCCCTGTCTCTCTTGTGGTGTGTGAAATCATAGTCAGTGGTTTGGTTTGATGTTTACAAGGCTGTACAACAGAAAGTTCCCTAGAGCATTAGCAGATCTTAAGACTTAAGACGTCCTTTTCATCAGTGGTCTCCTTTGTGTCGCTATCTTTCTCCAGTTTACCATTTACATTTCTTTTTCCAGTCTTGTCTTCATTTTTTTCCTACTGTGCTTTTCTATTAAGTGTTTTTGCTTTGTTAAGTTCAAACTTTATTTGACCTTCACACAGTTCTGGTCTTATATGTGGAAACATGCATTCAGAGTAACCTTTGTGAACAGTTGGTAAGCAGCCCTGACAGTGAGATGGATGATGGATTTGGGGGTTCTTGACAGGATAGGACAAGGATTTTACTCTGTGCTCAAAAACACACACAAAACAATGAAGTACCACTTTGTAATAAACAGGTTCCCTGCCAAATAATACCAGAATATTCAAGTTTGGGTTTTTTCTTCCTCTTTCATTTTCAGAATTTCATCCTCTTCATTCAAAACTTCCACACACTTATTCGCCTTTGTTGTTAAGTACAGGTCACACTGGTTTCTACATGCTATTCAAGACTGGCAATGGATGTTTGTGGGCAGGAATGTTGGACAAAAAATTATTTCAATAGGTAGTTGGCAGTAGATTTTTTTTTAATTAACAAAGGGTTTATAAATTGCAGCTAAAGCCTATTATAAATATATAGTCTAAATAATGCACAATTAGGGAACATTTGGGTTACCAAGCCTTTAAAAATTCATATGAATGAAACAGAGTCCAGGGGCATGTTCAGAAGGGGGGCATAGGGTGCCCCCAGCCCTTGGCTCTGTCGACGTGGTGTTAGCATGTAGCTGAGTTAACGTCATGGAAGTGGCTGTAATCATGTTTTCTCTGTGAGGCACCAAAGCTAAAATCCATTCACAGTATTATTAGTAGTATTACTTACTTTTATGCTCATGCTAGTCTGATGTAGGGTTAAAAACTTCCTGAATTGGTAATAGTTGAGGGATTGGAGGGTTTGTTAGATTAAATGATCTTAAAGGTTAGAACTGAGATGGACACAAATTGAAAATACATGTTTCTGTTACTGTTGCTGGAAATGCAATACAGCAATACAGCAGTACACGGGCAGTTATCTTTCTGTGTGTTTCAAGTACATTTGTACTATCTCCATCTCTCGTGTTGCCCTTAAATAATTCAAACAACCTTAAAACCAGTTCTTTACTTGTTCCTCAACTTGTTCTTTCTCATTCTTTCTCATTCTCATACAACAGAGACAAGAAATTTCAGAAATCTAAACTTTCATGCCACCCGCAGTGGAGAAACTGTGAGACTACAAAAACCAGATTGTTGAGACAAAGAGCCCAATAAAATGGCAGCAGGCTTGGCAGAATGTGTTTTATGCTTTTTGTGCGTGTGTGTTTCTCATTTGAGACCAAGAATATGGGGATGCAGACATTGTTTTGTGCCGTTGCTTCTTTATATCTGCATTTTTTAATAATGCACGATTAAAGAACTGCAGAGTCTCCTCCATCTGCATGAGCCCCTCGTGCTACAGTCAATCACAGATTTAGAGCGAATAAACTCATGGCTGGTCTCATTCCTTTCATCATATATAACATTTTCTTTCCCTGCAAGGTTTCTCTCTTCTAGCGTGTTCTAGTGTAATCAAATGTGGCTTTTGGTGTCATTTATTTGCCTACGTAACACTTATTGCAAGTACCTTCACATTAGCATTAGTGAGTTTGTATTATGTGTAATACTTCTAAATACATTCCATATATGAACTGAAAGGCAGGAACTGCATTTCAGGAGTCTTTTGTAAAAATTATAAAAAATCTAATTATGCTCACCCAAATTGTCATTTTTTTTCCCGGTGTTGTTTTATTTGATTTGATTTCTGCTCATTTTCCTCTTCAGTGGGTCCATAAACGCTCTAATGCATTTCTGTGATTACTTAATGCACACTGAACTGCTTAAGTGTGAAATGTGCTGCACATATTGCCTTGGCCTTTAACTGCAAAGTTAACACTTTTGATTGATGCTCTTTCAGCGAAAGTATAGCCAAAAGGTCCACTAATGCATACAAGGCCAAGTACTTCTGCCGCCATGTTTTTTTCTCACACAAAACATTGTGAGTGCCTCTACGTAGCAGCTGTAGGGTGATGCAGAAGTCATTCTTTTACTAGATTTACTAGGATTAAGTATTAGTAAGGTGGACCTCGAGCAAGTTCCTGAATCTATAGTAGCTGCAGAGGTGTTATTATATACCTGACCTTGTGCTCTAGCTGGCGAGACTCACACTGACTGAAACGTAACAACAATACAGTCTTATATCATTATTTTCCTGCCAGAACATTGAGTACGCTGACATTTTCTTCAGTCACTGAAAGGTGGGCCAGGTTGCTTTTGAACTTTAAAGTGCTTATCTAGAACCTCCTGCTCAGCAATACCTGCCCAAAAATCTCAATTCCTTTCACCCAGGTGACACACATATTATGTGTCAGCTGTATCAAGCCAAAGCTCATATGCCATTCAGTATTCTGAATCAGCTCTTTTTTTTAATGCTTATTTTTGTCTCTCATCTTTCTAACCTTTGTACCACAGCAAGAGTGAACATTATGTCTCAATAACAGATCTGCCCTCCAATATCCTTTTATATCCAGTTGCAGCCACCTGCCGTGAACACGGGTATTAAAAGCAACAAAAATGAACACAGTTGCTTCAGTTTTATTGGTTAATGAAAAGAGGGCTGTCTGCCCGACATTTGCCAGGACATTAAAATATAAGGTAGCATTTATATGTAACCTTAAATTATAATGTCCACATAAGGGTAGGGTCTAAATATGGGAAGCATTCAGATATTGTAAGCAAACACATGAACAGCTTGTTCCCTCTAATACAGAAAAAAAGACTTTTATGAAACCCAAGCCCTTGACGACCCCGCCTCAATGTGGGTGGGGTCGTCATATAACATTGACAGAAACACAACACAATAATGGCATGAAACCAATGGTAAACGTCTACATCTCATCATTGGACCACAGCGTTGCCTCAATGCCAGGTTTCAAAAATGGCAGGTTTGATTCCTGTGAAGGAGTTGCTCTCAAGACTTATTGGCTAACGTCATTCCCTGACCAATCAGTGAATTGCAGTCTAATGAGGGGACAATTTCAGCCAATTTCCCCGTACATAACTATAGAAAACTCTAAAAACCAAGTCAAATCAAAACCCTCCTTTCCGAGTGGAAATACTGGTGGAAATAAGAGATTGTAGAATCAGTGGAAACACCCTTCAACATTATTATGAGTATTAATGTTGTATGGTTTGTCCATCACAGGGCCCTCTACAACCTGTTGGCAACACAAGTTTTTGGAATGGCACAAATATAACAGCCAGCTGATCCGAGCAGAGTCAGGCAAACCATTTTATATATTATACATGTCTAAAAATATACATCTGAATATCAGATTTTTACATCACCAAATATCAGTCAAAAGGGTCTTAAAAATCCTGTTTTTATGTTTTACCTTGTCTTGCTATAGCTCCTTGTTGCTCCTTTCTGATGAGTAGTGATCTAGCCATTAAAACCGTTAAAAAACAGATTTGTCAGACCAGCCATCAGTTCACGGAAATTGAGGGTTTGAGCTGAAATGGATACCTGAGAGTGACGCACTGAGGGAAAAAGGAAGAGGATGGATTTAGCTGCAATTTAAACTCATGACACACAAGATGAAAATAACTTTCGGAAAGTTTTCATAATAAAATTGACAGAGCATATCTAATTAATCGTGGTAAAGGACTCTTGCAGTGGATGTTTCGACCTGTCATAAAAGCATTTATATTTTTAAAAAGGATTGCATTCCATATAAATAAGAAACATCCAAGATCCTAATATTGTGCATACTGGCTCATTGTCAGCGAACAGCTGGACCAGAGCCACTGTTAATGATATTTGTTTTATTACAAAACAATGAGGCAGGGCGGGGATTCCCCACAGTCGTCTACTGTTGTTTCCACCAAATACAGGGAAATTACAAGTGAAATCTGCCCCCCAAAAAAAAATTTTCCTGCAAATATTTAATATTTAAGGCTTTAAGGGGTTAATTTATGTACATTACATAACATTTAAATTAATTATTTCACACCTGACTTGGTTTAGTCAGATGTTAGCAAAAGAATTAAAGTTTGCACAAACAGTTGCTCAGAAGCACAAAGCTCTTTTTGATCCTAAATATACAAATAAGATTCAGTAGAGATCAAACTGAAGACGGTCTCAACATCTTTAGGACACTTGAATATTTTCAGGTGCCTGGAGTGACAATTAAACTCTGTGTCTTCTGTTTCCTTTTCAGGACTGGCTGAGTAAGTTTGGGTACCTCCCACCGCCTGATCCTGTGACTGGCCAGCTTCAGACCAAGGAGGCCCTGACCAAGGCCATCAAAGCCATGCAGAAGTTTGGAGGGCTTAAGGAGACTGGAGTCTTAGGTATGTGGCTAGGTTGATTGCAAAGCTCTGCTCTATGGAAAGAGCACTATGGCTGGTTTTATATGTTCACTGATACCAGCGTATGTAAGAGTAAACGCCTGCGGAGGAAAATATAAGGTATGCCTTACAATAGAACGCATTCCTACCAACAGAAAAGCAACAGAGGCAAATCAATAACGCTTTGACACAATAACCACCAAACAATAAAAAGGTAGCTTTTATTTCAGTTCTTATGTACTGAAAAGCATTAGATTGCACAGCTGTCTCCATGTCATGAGACACCTTGTAAGCATAAATCATTCTTGCTGCCGCACCACACAAAGCAGAATTACAGTACTGCTATGTACCTACTGTACTGTATGTGATTGATAACACTCGTATGTCTGAAGCAGAGCAGTATATTGATTAGTGTGGGTTTTACTGTTCGCTCTCATGTGAGGCACTCATAGTTTCCCGCAGTGCATATTGGCAGTCTCACTCACTCGCACAGACGGCAATTCTCCTCTACAAACAAAACTCTTTACAGGCTACTCCCTCGCACATACACAAATATAGAAGGTAGAGAACAGGATACTGTATGTGAATAATTTGCTAGCCTAAAGCGCTGTTTCTCAAACTGTGGGGCGTGGACAGCCAGCTGAGGAACATGATGTGATGCTAGGGTGAAGCTGAACATATTTAATGAATATTTATTTAAGTAAGACTCAATTATTTGGGGTAATTATCAGTAAAATGACCCTTTTTTGTGCTTCTGTAGTGGGGAATGCCAGAAATAACTGTGGATTTGAAGGATGTTAAACTCCTTCCTAGGATGAGATACAGTCAATCAATCTTCATTAGAAACTCAAGATCCAAAAAAAATGTATAAAGAAAAGAATCGGTGTCCTAGAAAAATACATAAAGTTACATAATACTGTTCGGTAACTTTGCGGTGATCTGTTATTCAGACAAAGCATCACAGTTTCATTCAGACATACCCTCTACTTTATCAGAGATAGCTCCAGCGCAGGCACGGCATTTCCTATACTCGCAAGATTGAACAGATGGTTCAGGTAGCAGCACAATCCATTTTAGTGTCTCGTCACTGTGCAGAAATGCTGCTGTGGTTGTGGTGGAATAAAAAGAGAAATGGGGTTCAAAACGTCTGTGACAGGTGCCTTCTCCTGGACATCCATCTGAGTAATCTCCACGGGCCGCTCCAGCGTCTTGGCTCTGAGTCCGGACAGCCTCTCTTTCTTAAAGTACACGTTCTTGGAGGCCTGCTGACTTCTGGAATGCAGATCATGACTGCGCTACATGCGTATCCATAAATATCACTAGTTCTGACGAAATAGGTTTGCCATCACGACTTTTACTGAGTAAATGCCTGAAGGGGAAGTTGGAGAGCATGTATATGTTTTGGACCAAATGGTTTCTTGCAGCCTTTTGTTCAGCCAGCTGTGTACGTATATGTGCTCATACAGTGTAACATGACTCTCAACTACTGAAGCATTCATTTTCAAACAGATGTTGAACAGTGATGGATCAGATGTCCTTATTCATGCGCTACATAAGCAAGCATAAAATGCATTCATACACTAGCTAATTCGTTTTCTCTAAAAATAACATGGTAACTGTGGCATGTATTTGAATTCGTTTATATATGTGCATGTATCTCTTCTGTCCTGCAGACCAAGAAACACTAGGGCTGATGAAAACACCCAGATGTTCTCTGCCTGACGTGTCCGACACAGAGGGGACAGTGGGACGTAGGAAGCGAAGCTTGAACCCTCAGAACAAATGGAACAAGAGACATCTATCCTGGAGGTAGGGAAAATTAATAGGACGCTTTAAGGTCACACGTAAGCGTCGTCGCCCAGATACAATAAAACCAGCGAGTCCACAGACGGTGAATCCTTATTTTCATTCCCAGTGAGAGTAGCTATGTTAAGGCAGTAATGTATAATACAAATATGAAACCTAAATAGGAATCATCCTAATGATCAAAATAAATTCCCTCTTTCTTCAAATGTGATGCTTTTATGCTCTCTGTCTGTAACCATATAGATAAATATTAGGTTTAAAGGATTTTTAGAGGTTTGTATGAATTTCGAGTCCTGCAAATGATGCATGATCCTTTTTTTTAGTACCTAGACCTTATTCTGTAAACGGTTACAAACCACTGAAAGCTTAGAAGTGCATCCAGCTCATGAGGCTGGAAGGAACATGCCACTGGAAACATTTGCTACTTATATTTGACTGTTTTAACTATAATATAGCAAAAATCCTCTCTCAGTCTATTTAAAATGATTTCCCATCTGTGCATGCTTTATTAGAACAGATTAGATATCCCTTATTAAAGTGGAAAAATTTGGTGTTTTTAATTGACTGAGAGTATTTTGTAAAAATAAATAAAGAAAAAAAAATACAGCGAACTTAATATAATCAGCAAACGTGTCTTTCTTATTAGATCATACACAAACCTTATTATTCATAAAGTTTTCATAAATGAGACAGGGCTTTTATTTTTTTTAAGTCTTCAGATTTAATACCGATGCCTTTTTTATAATTCCTAAAGAGAAGGGTCACAGTCTGCTGTTTATACAGTACATGATAAGATAATATGGGCATGTTAAAAGCAGCTGGGCCATCTGTCAGGGATCCAGCTTAGTGTTAAACAGCAGAGGAGGAGGCTGTGAAACATATGGTTGGCCTGAGCTGGTTCGCACACGCCATCGGGAGATGATCTAAGGTAGGTGGTGTGTCAGAGGGTTTGTTTTAATCTGTGTGTGCTGTGCAGCAATAGACATCAACCTAAAGAGCAGTGCAGAGGAAGAGAAAACGAATAAATAAACATTTTGATACTACATATGCACACATAAACAAAGAGTAACGCCCACACTCTTCACTCCCATGTGTGGCTGGATTTTTTTTCCCTTTAGAGATGGGAGGTCTTTTGATAAATATCCCCGATTCACCCTCTGCTTATTCTCACCCACTGATATTGCTGTGATATTGGCCTGCAGTGAAGCTGCTGATGGAAGGAGTCAGCCAAATTATTATTTTATATATGACATATTGGCGACGCTATACTTTATTATATAGGGTTGGAATGGAGGTTGTGGAGTTGCTAGTCTAAGTATTAATATTTTAAAATGGAAGAGAATAACAAATAAAAATTTGTCACAGTTTATCAGTAGAAATGTCTTAAAACTGCATTCTGTCTAATAGCCAGCAGGGGGAGACTCTTCTGCCTGCAAAAAGAAGTCAGTTTGTATAAAGGTCTGAGGGAAAATGACTCCACTGCTCTCTTAATTTATTATTAATGCATTCGTGTCCTCTGAGTTTCAAAGCTAAATTGACACAGAATGAGATTCAGTTTGTGAATTGTGGCCCGGTTTAGGTAAAAACAGATGAGAAAGCAGGGTATGCTTTGTGACTAAGCATGCTTTACCTTCCCTTGATGGCCTAACTGCTCAAATCAAGGCTTTTCAAAAGATCAACACACCAATGAGCAGCAGCAAGGTGTCTGCGTGAACTTAAAATACACTCTATGCATGTAGTACAAGTACAGATTTTACACATGATTTTAGACATGATTTTAATCTGCGTTATAGAGCTTGAGAGCAGGCTCAAAAACAGTTGAGGCAGGTACTGCTTTGTACTACTTTCATAGGATTTTGCAGGTACAAACAGTTTTTTGACAGCTGATTTCTAATTATTTGTAATAATTAAATAAATACAATATAAATATCAGTATGTGCATATGAATAAAGTAGCAAAATATATGTGAATGTTAATCAAGGGTTTACACAAAGGTTTCTTTGTGTATGATCTGTTGGGTAAACAACTATTGGTTGGCCAAGTGTTTTTATGTCACTTAGCATACAGTAGTTATAAGTTTTGCTTTAGGGAGAGTGTGGCATGCAGGACAGATGGGCCACAGCATCCTGCAGAAGGATGATGAAACAGGCAGGGTAATAGATCTAAGGTAGGACAGAAGGAAAGCAAAATGAAGCAAGAGGTGGTTGGAAAGCGGGACATCAGGGCACTTGAGGATTGAAGAAACAGGTCGATAAGCAGGACTTTTCCACTGGTGGGAGGGCTGAGCGAGCAAAAGGGACTGTGGGTGAGCCGTGATATTTAATAGCAGAACAGAAAGTAAAGCAGTGCATAAAACGGAGTTAGCAAGATGAAGATATCTGTGTAATTGTGAGCTGCACAGTGAAGTATTTGATTATAACCAATGTCATCCATCCTTTTTCTTAGCTGTGTATCCAGTTCAGGGTCATGGGTGGGTGGATAGCTCGTCAATATAATATTTTTTTTTCAAAGATTAGCTTTTATCTAAACTTTATGAAGAAAGCTTTATTTTCACTGTGTGGTAGTGTGGCCCTAGATGTAGACCAGTCGATCCATCGGCCTTTTGATTACGCCCACAGTAAGGCTGACATTTGTGTTTAGGAAAGAATTTTTTGTTTGTTTGTTTGATTAGAACACAAACTATGATCAATTTAGTGAGTCATTTATTTGGATTCCACCAGTAAAGTAGTGCTGTGTAGCCAGCCCACATTTCAAAAGGTGTGAGAGCCAAATGTAACGTAGTGTTACATTTCCAAAAAGTGAAAAGTGGAATTTCCGTGGAAGAAAATTGTGCCAGGAACTTTCCACTTTGCTACATTAATAACAGATTACTACCTCAAGTTGATGTTGGAAAATCATCCAGACTTTATTCCCAGGGATTACAAGTCAGATTTATCCAGCCAGAATCAGCTGAGGAAAGTAAGCTTCTTCAGCAGGTTTGTGGCAGCAAAAGCAGCTGCTCAGACTGCAAGACGGATGAGTTCAGGTGGATGAATCACTTGTCACCGGAGGCAGAAAGGTTACAGCTTTTTGATAACAAATTACCTGGTGACTTTGTCCCTGTGGCATCTCCTTGTTGAAATAATCCTCAGTTCACTTGGGGCTTTCGGTCAGAGATACAGCCTTTTTTTCAGGGGTGGGGTGGGTGAGGATGTAACTGCACATGGGTGGGTGGTTTAGGGGGACAAGTGGGGTGGGGGTGGTCCGCATAAGGTCTCAGATGACCTGGAAAAAGCAGTTGGCCGCAATCCAGCAGCACACCACATTGAAACCATGGAGTCAACATCTGCTTCAGGGGACCGGCATGCACATAGCTGTGAGGTCCTGCTGTTTTATGACTGGAACATTTTTGCTTTTTTTATATCACTCAGTCTCTCTTTTTACTCTGCTTCTCTCCATCCTGCTGCTGCAAACCTTCTGCTGTCAATCACCTGCTTTATGCTGCCTCCAGCCTGGCCCTAGTTGGCTCTGTGAAATAAGGCAGCTTCTTTTTCAGTCCAGTGAAGCCACCTTTCTACTCGCAGCTCTCACATTTGTTTAGCACCATAACGCAGCCAAGATGTACTGAAAATTGAGATGTACAGACTTGGTGTCTTTTAAAAAGAAGAGGAAAAGAAAAAAGAAAAGAAACAGCCTCTGGCTTCTGCCGAGAAACAGATGGGGCAATTATTCAGGTTTTATTATAAATGCCTGTGGATTATTTGTTGATTTCAGATTCATTCACATCTAAAGAGGCTTCCATATTGCATGGTTTATCAATAAAGCTACACAGTAAATTGATATAATATTCTATATAGAACAACTGCCTCAGGCATTTGAGTTACCAAAAGCATTTTTCATCCAGGTATTTAGCTTAATGTTAAAAAATGCATGGATTACTGCTTGCTTCTGTATTGATTTGTGTGCCAACTTTTTCTTTTTTGCCGTGATATTACGCTGCTTATAATTATCCGACTTGGAAAATCACAAATTCAAACAGTCGGATATTTTTTGCCATCTCTGTTTAGCACCACGGTCACCGTTTTGTTGACTCGAGAACATTTAGGTTCATTGCCAATAAATGAAGCAAAGAGTCACTGTCCCAGTCACTTGTTCCTCGATGGGATCTTAAACAATTAAAAACTCTAAAACACTGTTAAAGCAGAATCTCAATAGAAAAAGGCAATATATTGTAATTGAACTTCCTTTTTTCTCAGTCCAGTATTACTCTGGGACAATATTGCATAATGGAGTTTGTAATGGCAAAACTAATTTCCTTCCTCATTACATATTTATGACTTAGATTCGCTAAAGACTTTGAAGAAATGCTATTTCGCAGGCATTTTTCAAAGAATGAAGTTTTCCGTTTGCTAGATGAGATGTAAAGCTTGAAACTGGGAAAACATCTCAAATCCCCTCAACCATTTTATTTACATGGCATCCAGGAGGGTGATCACATTACTCTGCAATGAGTAACTTTTCCATTTTTTTGTCATTATATCCATTATCTTAAATTATGAGAAGTTCATCTCACTGCAATACACATGGAGCCAATTAAAGATGTTAATGTATGTATAATATATCTGTCATGGTTGATGAATGATTTGGACCCAGGGTGCAGACCTGAAGCCAAATTAACCCTTTGTTTAAGTGAAATTGGGACGATCCAACAAGCAGCAGTAACCCAAATCAAATACTAATAGCAGGGATAATTAGGTAATTAGTTAGTTAATTAGTTAATTAGCATGAGGCAATTACGAAAAGAAGACACAGGTGAAGAGAGTCAATGAATGAGACAAGGAGAAGAAAATCCAAACACAATGCACAGAAGATTATCCGGTAAAAGACTGAAGCAGGAAGTAACTAAACAGGGGACACAGGAACGCAAACTTGACAAGGAAGGGCGGGAAAAAACCCTCAGGGAAAAAACAATAATTAAAACTACAAAAGGAAACTCAACCCAGGGATAATATCGAGAAAACCAA